GTTGGATTGAAATAAAATATACAGTGAAAGCGTGAAAGAAATCCTTGGCGCCATTGATTCCCACACATGACCAAGAACTATGACCCGTAAATACCATATATATATTAATGACTTTCTGACAATTACGACTCCTGGAACCTTTCGTCCAAACTTTTTCATTGAATTCAATAGATCATTAAATAAATTAATTCAACTTCGAAATGGTCATATGTTGGTATAAGCTTCACTCAATTGATACCATCTTAYTTGATTTTACTATACTGTACAGGTCATTTGTCAAATTATGATAGTTGTTTTCAAACATGAGGTAATGTTGTCTTTTCAACTGTATCAATTTGTTYCATCCTTGGCTACACAGCTGTGTTCAAATAACGCGGATTTCAAGCCCAGTTTTTCTGCATCAACGCATCATGATATCATCATACCTGTTATGACAGGTATTGGACGCCATTCCACCAATCACAGCACGACAATTTCAATAGTTTCACTGCCTTGTTGAGGTAATCAGAATCACTGACATTCCACAACATGAAAGTCATTTATGAAGTAATGGAAAAGTCGAGGCCATAAAACAAGTGAAACAGAAGCCATCTTATYATACTCCTGCCATTTCTCTCTTGAGACAAGTCACTTGGAAAACAACGTAATTTTCTGACGAAGACTGCTCGAGGATTTAATACCGCGAGAGCAAGGTTACCTGTAAGTTTTGTRGTCCTTAGCAACCGTATCGTAGGAGCTGTGCGGACGAACACAACTTTAACTCCCTTACTTCTTCTGTGGTAAATATCTTGATTTGATTTGATGATTATCCTAACTTGAGATATGTCTAGTTCACACCGCAATTGTAGCTTTTTAAAAATCGTTGTTATACTTGATTTAAAACAGACGTTCCCGACAGGGTAAGAATTTAAATTGAAGAGCTCAAACAAAATTCATTACATAAACGTGAAAACTCTTCAAATATTCGTCAAATGTTTCAATCAATAGTTGTTGCTGYCCACTTTTCTAAAAGACGAAATAGGCAAACCGTTATAACGTCTTTSAGATGATCGTAGCCTCGATGGAGTTGAGAATGCTGCTCATATGCCAAAGGATCCAGTCATACTTTGAACGAGAGAGTTGGGATAAAACCTTCTACCAAATGTTCATCATTTGCTAGTTGCTTTTGTCCCACCTTTCAAGTAAATCAGACGTATAGAAGGATAGTGTACCAAGAAGTGGACCCAATATAATGTCTTGAGGAACACCCAACAAAATTATCCAAGTATGTTTATCATAATAACTCTTGACCTGTGATTGATGATATTAACTTGATTCTTCTTTGAATACAAGAAGTGGCCCCACTATAATGCCTTGAGGAACACCCGACATCAAATTTCTCCAAGAATGTTTATTAAAATAACTCTTGACCTGATATTGATAATATTTAACTTGATTCTTCTTTGAATACAATAAGTGGCCCTACTATAATGCCTTGAGCAACACCCAGCATCAAAATTCTCCAAGTATGTTTATCAAATTAACTCTTGACCTGTTGTTGACGATAACTTGATTTTTCTTTAGATACAGAAATTAAGAGTTACACATACGAAARAATATGTAACAACGAAAGACTAATGTCGGGTATCTGGCCCTGAGCGTTCTGATTGTTTGGTCACTGCACAGGATCGGTCATTCCCCTTGTAGTTTTTCCATGTGTTTCAACTCGAATAAGATTTTCCGTTCACCATGCTGTCCCAGTTGGCTGATCGATAGCATTCACATTCATCAGTAGATYAAAACATGGTTTACAAACCAAAACTGTTTCTTCATAGGCCGCAGGTGCTAAGAAATAGGAAAYAAAATTCAATTAAAGCGAAGAGATTGTGAACTAAGCTTCTTAAAAAAAAGTCGTTTTGCTAAATGCGCAGAGTCCATAAGCATAAGGCCCGAGCTTCGCCAAACTGCTATCGAAGTTTCTCCTACAAAACCCAACAATCTCCGACCTTACATTCATAGYTCGTTCGCCTGTCGACTGCTTCTCGGTGTGGGAGAAATAAATGGAGAATTCAATCGTAAGCATTTGATCGTTGGAGTTCGCTCAGTTAAGAAATTTGCAGCAAGGCGTTTTAGCGTGATTAGAATCAGCTCCGAGTCTGATAAAGAATGGTTGTTCTACGGCTYTGCTATAGTGATTTTATTTCTGCAAACTGACCTGTTGCTCCAAAGACTGATCGTTTYACTCGRTGWGAGCAACATTTTGAACAGAAACTTTCTCCACAGTGTCTGCAGTATTGCTGAAATTTGATAAAGAACAGAATAGAATGAATTGTCGAGACTGAATAAAGAATGATATGCAAGAGTGAATAAACAAATACAAGTTTTGTTAAATAAGGAAAAAAGGAAGGAAAAAATTGGAAAAGAGAAAGGAAATAAAAGAAAAAGAGAGGGAGAGAAGAAAATGATGAAACGAAATGAAAAGGAAGAGGAAGGGAAAATGGAAGGGTGTGGTGGAAGTGGGAGGAATGGGGGAAGAAAGGATGAATGCTAAGATAGAAAAAGCAAACAAGAACAAGAGATGACAGACCAAAGAAATGATGATTATGGCGCAAATGAAGTGAGAAAGGTTGAAGGGAAAAGATACGAAAAAAGGAAAGAAAGAAGGGATGGACAAAATAAAGCGGACCAATTGAAGGAATGACTTTTTGTAATATGGAACTTACCCGTTTCTTGAGGATTGACGAGAATGGAACATCACAAGAACGACATTTTCCTAGGATAGCAAACATGAAGTCAATATAATGTGTAATACTGTATGATGATTAACCTCAATATCATCATACCACTGTTTAATTTTTTCTGCTTTCTCCTATAGTCAGCTAGTTGTGATAAAATTGACGATGAATCCTGCAGCTCTA